ATTAAGAAATTTGAGATGAAACTTTTCAATATTTAGAGTTTTTTCATATACCAAATTTCGTTCCCATATAGGTAGTATTAAAATGTTAATTACAGTATGGAGTGCAAAATTGAAGTTTCTTGACTTCTTCAGTAATGCAAACGTGGCTTTGTTAGAGCTAGACAATAAACCATTTATTGCGAATTAAATGTACTGTTGCGGTGAAAGTGGTGGATGCCAAGGTGCGTATAATTATTTACAATTTCAATTGGTTTAGAGTCAAACTGAACAGATACTTTAGTTTTATTATCTTAGTTTTTGCTATGTTTACACTGTGTTTCCATGCATGAGAATATGCTTTAAATGCATCAACAATAACATATAATTATGTTCAAATAAACTGGTAAACTCGAGATACTCGAATGGTCCTGTAAACCCAAACAGTTCAATTTAACTAAACGGACACCTTCCTGAAATAAATTAGCATGACCATTTTGATGATTTGTTACAATCTCACTTGGTGTGAGCTAGAGACAGAGACAGTGCGAGCGGTGTCCTGACCGCCGGCTCGCCCCTATTACGTGTTGACCTCTGCAATGCTGTTAATTGTGTCAGTTGTGCACGATAGCTACAGCCGACAGGTACAATTAATTGGAATACAACTCCTTAAAAATGGAAAGTTCAAAAGCTGTATACAAGCACTCACAAGCCACATGACTTCTACAAACATTGCTTTTTCATGATCAAACATTTGCTACACTCTCTAAAAAGAACAATTTTTAACATTTCTTTTTCAAACAAAATTTCTTAAACTATTTCTAAAATATATCATGACATTTACATTTTTAAATGAATTCTGTTTATTACCATAGTGTGCTAATATTGATTATACTACATATGATTTCTTGTTTAAGTGGCATTTAGAAGGTGGTATGATGAACAACAAGACGAGTTCTATGGATATACACCTTCCTTAATATGATATGAGCGACGTTTCGGTGTAGCTACCTTCTTTAATATGACATGAGCGCACGTTTCTACAGTCACATATGCGTCACATTTCGCCAGTTTGGCTCATATCATATTAAAGAAGGTGTATATCCATAGAACTCTCCTTGTTGTACATATGATTTGTAAAATTGTTGTAATGTACACCATTTCTTTATATGTATGTGCATATGTTCGTAACTACAGTGTTTATATCTGTAGTTTATACAATATTGCTACTGTTTCTTCATGGAATGCTATACATGTATTATGTTATGTCGTAGGGTTATATAAGGGGCGGACACGGGCACAGACTGGAGGCGATTTTCATAGAGATTATCTACAATGGTGTGCGCCCCATTTTTCTCAGGTGGTGCGAGTTTTACTAGGGGCATTAGGACATTTCTTCTGTATTCATATACTCCCTCCGGAAACTGTTCAGCTATCCCATAGTGTTTGCAAGCAAACATTTTACTGCATTGCTTGACTGCATCTCTATGTTTGTAACGAGGATTTTGACGATAATCGGTAGAGGTTTGATATATTCACCTGTGTACGGTAGAGTACGTGTGTGACCTATGCTATGGATTCGCTTGAGCTGTATGTGAAACATTGTTCGGTTGGCCCAATATACACGTGTTGGGGGATGGGTGGGTGGAGTTGGGTTGGGGGATAATGAGTTAGGTAGTAGTTCAATGTTTGTTGTTGCAGTGTGTGAAAATATGTTCTGTGGTTTCAAATATGTTTGGTTTGTATGGGATGTAGTTAAGGTGGCATAGTGTTAAGTATGGAATGGATTTTGGATTGGAATTGTGGAATGGGGATATTATTAGGGGGATAGAATTAGCTATATCCATGCAATTTGTATTCTGTACGTGTTTGAAGCAAAGCTAACAGCACGCCCACATGGTGGCAGGCACCTGTGTTGTGCCAGGATTAGGCATATAGAGAGGAGGGAATGGATTCTCAAACACAATGTGAAGGAAAATAATATATATATTAGGACTAATTTTGATATGAATCTTGTTTATTATCATAAAACAACAATCTATAGTGTCTGTATTATCACAAGTGTTACAGAGTCTCAATATAGCTATAGGTATTTGATTTGTAGTGGCGACAATGTCCTCTTGTGCTCTTCTGTCTATTTATGTTTAATTTCGTTTATGCATCAAAACTTGACTCATTTCAAAACTGGGACAGACCCTTCCAGCACATTCCGCATTTAAATGGAAATAAGTATTTTGTAGAAACATACTTTTCCTTTTTTCCTTGCTCTTTAGACTCTGGCACATTATGTGATCAATCCATTTCAAAGTAACTCAGTAGAAAGTATTCTTGTTTTTTTTATGTGAACTGCTAACGACAACCATAGCATTTGTTTATCAATCATACCATGAAAGAAATACGGAAGGATTGTGCGTTGACATTATGCCCATGAAGGTCTGGGTTAGAATGAACCTTCAGTAACCCATGCTTATCGTAAGAGGCCACTAACGGGATCGGGTGGTCATGCTCGCTGGCTTTGTTCACACATGTCATCGGATTCACATTGCGCAGATCGATGCTCATGCTGTTGATCACTGGATTGTGTGGTGCAGACTCGATTATTTACAGACGCCGCCATATAGCTGGTATATTGCTGAGTGCGGCATAAAACTCACTCACTCACTCATTCCACGGCTCTACTTGGAGCATATTGCACTGGCACCGTGGATAAACAATAACATGGTGAAGGGACTGTGAGACAGGCGATTCCCTCCCTCTGTCTGCCACTAGCCTTATCTTTCTTCGGAGTGAGCTGTGTGGGGGTGGGAGGGAGGGCTGAGTACCGAACTGTTTACAAACTGTACATTTAAGTAATGTGAGTACCGAACTGTTTACAAACTGTACATTTAAGTAATGTGAGTACCGAACTGTTTACAAACTGTACATTTAAGTAATGTTTGAAGGGGTGGAGGTTGGAGGTGCGCTTGCTCTGTATTGAAGTTAGACAGATGTATTCCGACATTCACAACAGCTTTATTCTTAGCGGACGTAAATCTCATGGACATAACAACTTTCTATCCCTAAACGTTCACTCCTATTTGTCCTGAAATTTTGTTAAATGACCAGTGAAAGTCGGGCGAAAATGAACATGCACCCAACGTATTTTTTCTCAACAGTGTGCCCCTCCCCTCCCCCCCCTGTCCCCACCCCCTGCCCCGACCTTTGTCTAGAAGCTGTATCCGATGAAGGATGTATAGTGATATGTACATGTAAAGCCATGAATAATGTAAATGTATCGTAAAATACTTTTTGGTTTGTTGATTCTTTTTCATCAGAGCTCTTTCAAAGTATCACACCTCGCTAATTAGTGCAGTACAGTTGATAATTAAGCTGATTGGATTAAGAGAGGCCAGTATGCCAACACTAAAGCGTTACATCACATGAAAATCTATTACTGTTTACTAACTTAAATGTAAATAGGCTTTCTGGTTTTGTAGACGCCTCGTCTGCCCCCACTACCCTACCTCACCACTCAGTGCTGACCTGTGAGATGCGGGTCCCTCATACTGACTGCATGCATCATGGTGATACTCTACCTGATGTTGGGCAAACACTAAAGCGTTATGAACAGCATGCTATAGTTACTGATTTTCTTAACGATACTGACAGATGATAAGCAATACTATCCTTAGAATTGAATACAGTTTGTCAATACAACGTGACGTCAATGCAGCTTATGAGGAATTTCTTAGATGCTTGTATACTGAGTTAGATGATAAAGTGGGTACTCTTGGCAGTAAGTGTAAGGCTAAAGGTAAAAGTTTGTATAAACCGTATTGGTCTGTTGAGTTGAAATCGGCCTGGGACCTTATAGTGGAAAGCGAACGGTATTGGATGAAATGTAAAAATAACTCTCAAAAACGGGATCTCAAGCGGGTATTATCTCATACCACAAGCCATTTGACAAATGAATAGGAAATGCAAACGGGCGTATCAGTTACAACGTCAACAACAGCTATTAAAGAAATACAAACAGGGTGATAGAAGGATTTATGAAAGGGGAACGGTAAGATTAGCTTGACTAACGAAAATAGTTCGCCGTTCCATGGGAGGTAATTTGCGATGGTAAAGTAATCACAGACAGGACTCGTGTTTTAGAACAATTGAAATCTGACTATAGTTCGTTATATATTTCCAATCCTGCCGGTGTGTTTGATGATTCCTTTCATAAGCAAATTAGTGAAGAGTTAAATAAGGAAACCATACACACCCCTCCCAGTGGCGGATCCAGGGAGGGGGTGTGGTTCAGGGGATTGGAGGTGGGGGTGACCCGCTAGGTTATGGTGGTATCTCTTCTTTCAAGTCCATGCAAGGTATATTCCGATATTTTAAACCCACGTCTTACTAACTGGCATGAAGCTAATGCAAATGACATTCTCATAACCTACAAACGTTAACTGATATGTCTTTTCTTTTCAATTGAACGAATCTAACAAAACAAACAAGACAGATTTAATCAAAAGTATTTCTACATTCAATATGTTTCTGATAACTAATTAAATGGTGAACTGCAAATACAAACTTCTTCCAGTATGTAAACTAAACAAAATATAAATAACGAACGTCCTCACAACGTTATGAGAACGTTGCATCAAGGTATAAACAATACGTTGCAAGGACGCGATGATAAGGTAATGTGTAACGTTGTGTATTCACATGTATTTTTAGAGTGAATGCGAGAACTTAGTTTTATGCCGCACTCAGCAATATTACAGCCGTATGGCGGCAGTGTGTAAAAACTGAGTGTGTACCAGACAATCAAGTGATCAACAACGTGAGCATCAATGTACGCAAACAAATTACGATGACAATTTGTGAGACAAGTGAGCGAGCCTGTCCACCCGGTGCCATTAGTAGCCTCTTACGACTAGCATGGGTTACTGAACATAAATTCTAACCCGGATATGATTGATTTTAGAACTACTAGAACTGATAAATAGGTAGATTGATTGGCTTTTTTAATTAAATGCATGTTTTGTTTCAGCATGGCTGATACTTCATCTATGACTGGGGATGACCTTGTTGGTCAACTCCAGCAATGGTGTATAGACCAGGCGGCCAAGTCCGCGTACGACCTGAAGATGCTGGAAAGCAGGACGGAAGTGAAACTGAAAGACCTGGAGGGGAGGATGAATAACCTGTCGCTAAATATAGCGACACAGGTTGCAACGGATGTTAACATCAGACTAGAGAATTGTATGAAACAAACCAAATTGGACATTAAAGATTTCAAGGGCGAAATTTATGAAGAGGTATGTACATAAGGAATAGTTCTTTTCTGACACTCAAGATTATAAATAAATATTTCATGATACTTTCATGTACCATTTTAATAAATAACAAACCGTATTCAACCTTCAGATCAAGACGGCTGTAAACGAATCGATGAGGAAGTGCTTCCTGAGAGCAGCAAACGCGGGGATGGCAGTGGATGACGAGCAGCCCTCCAGGCTGTTTCCGTGTGAGAGCACACCCATGTGCCCCAACTCCACGCCACTGCCAGAGTGTTCCCTGGAACAACAAGCCGAGCCTCCAAGGCAAACAAGGTACAAACTGTGGCAACGAATGACTTGTGAAGAAATTTAGGAGTGGCGCCAAGTGACACTATGACCATGCTAAACCTAATTTGAAAAATAGGCTTATATTAAGTTTGAATATTGGCCTGTCATCGGATAGTGCCGGATACATATGTTGGAAGCACATTTCTGGACTCACTCGCACATATCTTACATTATTCACGTTTATATTATTTACAGGTTTGTACAGTCACTTGAGGACCTGTCAACAGAATGGAGCGAGACCTTGTCACCCTTCTGGCCGAAGCAACATCCAAAAGGAGAAAGGCTCAATCGTGTTCAAGTGGCATTTTTGAACTACATGATCACAAAGAAAGACCTAAAAGGTAATAAAGACTGTGCACAGTACGTGATCAAGGAGGGTAGAAACTTGAACTTGTGGAGTTCTGTCTGGAAACCACAGGGAATTACTACCAGTTTTCAAGATTACATGGTGCAAAAAATATTAAATATCACTAAGCGGGCCAAGTTGGGTCTTTCTAGGCGCCGAATTGACCTAGACAAAATGAACTCTGACCTCGAAAAACGAACAAATTCCTTGCTGGCCCCAGCAGAGGGAGAATGCACTGAAGAAACAGACACGGAAATGGAAGTGTGAATTATGCTTAAGAGATTGATTATATTACCCATCAAAAGTTTAGACTCACTTAAAGCATTCGCTATATGTTAGGTCTAAACATGTGGTTACGTCAAGGATGGATTTCTCCACTAACTTGGGAGAACCAACTGCAAACTTTATTATAAACCGTCAATGATGGATAATCAGATGATCATGTCATGAAGCTAACCCTAACTGAAGCGCTAATAAAATCATTTGAATGACAGAGGGCCTAACTATAAATAGATAATTCAACATTCAGACTTCGTTGGCCCGGTGGCTATGAGGCAGAGCGTCTGCTTATGATTCTGAAAAATGCGGTTCCAATCCTGGTAGGGAAAGCATTTGCACATTTAAGTTGACCTTTGATGACATTTTTTATTTGATTTCAAACACTAACATATCATCTGAATTTGAATGTTGATGTTAATATAGAGTTAGGGTTATATGCAGATAAATTGCAGTAGGATAATGCATGAAATTAGTAAAGAGCAAGAGCAAATACCGTGCATGTGAACAGCTGCGTTTTGGTGTAAAGTTTTGTTAAAAATTGGCCAAGTTTCACTGATTTTCATCATTTACTGAACTCTAATGTTTTCAACGTTACGAATATGTTTTGCAATACATTAGTTCATGTGTAGGCAGTACCTTTAAACAGATTGGAATATTTTCCAACATATAGTTTAGGACAATTGACTGAAATAAGTGTCTACATTTCCACTAGTGAGTCTAAACTTTTGATGGATAGTTGGATATGCATATGATATGATTGTATTTTGGATATGGGTTTTTACTAAGCCTACTGTGTTGGAAAATCAGAGGTATATAACGAAATGATAATACCCATAAATGTTTCATTTGAAACCTCACGCTACGCTATTATAATTTGGTTATATACCTCTGATTTTCCAACACAGTAGGTTTATCTCCATTCTAACCGGGTTAGAATTGATCTTCAGTAACCCATGCTTGTCGTAAAAGGCGACTATGCTTGTCGTAAGAGGCGACTAATGGGATCAGGTGGTCAGGCTCGCTGACTTGGTTGACACATGTCATCGGTTCCCAATTGCGCAGATCGATGCTCATGCTGTTGATCACTGGATTGTCTGGTCCAGACTCGATTATTTACAGACCGCCGCAATATAGCTGGAATATTGCTGAGTGCGGCGTAAAACTAAACTCACTCACTCACACTATCTCCATTCTACCATGATATATTTATCTACAACAATTCAGTTTGAACTCTTTCTTTGGTTACGAGTCAGTACGTGTTCGTAAGATATAGTTTAGATTTGTTATGTTTCATGATTAATGAGGGTGTAGAAACCGATATGGAGAAAGACGGTTGATATTGTGCTTTATGTGACGTAGAGAAAGAAAATAAAATTAATTTTACACTAATATGTACTTGTTATCATGAATTATCACAGAAATTCACACCAGACCATTTTCTTGCAAAGCAACCCCTATAAACATAAGTAGGGTTAAGTGAAATATGAGGTTAGGTTTTGGGGCTAGGTTTTTGCTGAAACCATAGCTTACACACAAAGCCGATGGTTAGGTTTCATGGTGATGTGTTTGGTAAGTAAGGTTAGTCCCAAACATGACGGTTAAGTTGTTTGGTGAGACCATATAGGTTAGACCCAAACACGACAGATTGGTTTTTGGGTGAGGGTTTGGGCAATACCCTAGGTTAGACCCTCGGTGAGACCCAAAGATACCAGTTACGTGTTTTGTGGGGTTTTTCGGTGAGACCATAGGTTACACCCCAATATGGCAAGAATACATGACAACTAACTTTTATGGATAACAACTTCTTTTTATTCTTTACACGATGTTTAAGAGCTAATTCTTGCTCCTTCATCAGGTGAATGCTGAGTGAGTGCAAAGTTCGGATAAGATAAGATAAGATAATGTTCTTTCTTGGGGCCAATAACAATGATATTGATGAAATAACAAGGCATTTCACTATTATAGAATTCTCAAAGTATAAACTAAAAAATATCCTCAATTACCTGTGGTAATAATCTAGCCAATATCTGACTGTAAATAACCTGTATATATTTGGGGAAATGTTACCATATTCTATGTATGTACATATAAGAAATGAGTGTAATATCAATTAATGTCAACAGATGCACATTAGATAATGTTGTTGTGGTCATAGTTACATTGCCATTAACACGTTGACTGAACCACCAAGAACGGTAACTCCTTGGTATTACGATAACGTTTCAAATCCGTCGTACCAACGTACACATTATGATGAACGTGTTAGTACATTAGACATAAAATCTATCAACTATTGTGAATAACATAATAACTTTATACATATGACACAATGATAATGTTCATACCCTTAGCGTGACACTGGGGTGTAGAAGAGCCACGTGTCCAAGATGAATATACTGCTGCTACAAGAACAAGCAAACCAAAGTCTCAATATTCTAAATATGTATATATACAAATCACAACAATCAGTAGCTATGGTTTAATACTGACGTAACTATGTGTAAGCTATATATACATATTTAGAATATGCTGGGGGCTCCATTTTTGTAACCGGGTTGTGATGGGTATGAATGACGTCCAAACACAGGCTACGGGTGTGAGGTTTTATTTTCAGTTAGAGAGGTAACAACACCCTGCAATACACAAAACAATAACACAAGGTAATATCATAAAACATGATGCATTGTTCACATGCGGGTAACTTTCAAGTACACATTTACATTCGCATATAAATATCTTTGTTAATGAGGCATAATCAAGGGCGATAACTCTATGTATGGGTGCTATACATGAGGTATACAATGAACATGTATCATTGTTATAAAGTACATGTTCTCAATACAATAATTAATTACCACTTTGTGGTACCAATGATACAGATGGCAATCAGTGATACATATCTGTCATAGTATATTATTTACAATATATACAGAGAATAATAATTAATGTTATTATCCGTACCCTGTGGGTGACACTGGGGTGTTAATGCTACTGGGCAGCCGCCTCAATGATAGTGACAGTGTTAACTTATACAGGAACACATGAATGCAAATATATAGCTTCCAGATATACAATGAAACCCAATGCATGAAAAGTATCACTCTGGAGACGTAAAACACATGAAATGGCTGAACACTGAGAAAAGTGTTTCACATTGCAAATAATTATCATAACACAATAATATTAAGATAAGGCATTCACTCACTAAACATTCACACAGAAAGATTAGAACATGTCAGAATATTTAGCCCTACTGATTTAATGACTATGGTGACATGATAAAATTAAAACTATTAAAGGTGTTGCAATATGATAAACATAGCTTAGACTACCTATATTATATGCTTATATAATAGCTAGCAATAATATATTATACTGACCTTAAACAATAAAAATTGTCTGTTCCAATGTGTCAAACATCAGACCAGTGTGTAAATCAGTGTCTTGTCAAGTGCAAGATGGATGAAAAAGTGCACAGTTTAAACTGACCAATGAAAACAAGGCTTGGGTTAGAACAAAGAGGAGACAATGACTTAAACATGGACTAAGCTAAAACCCCTTTACCTTTATAGACTGCTCCAAAAGCATAGTAATGAGAAGTTGAAAACTACTGTCCTAACAACTTTAAAATACTACAACATAAAACACTTGAATTAGATAAAACTATTCACAACAAACTATTCAGAACTGGTGTCTGCCACACCATAAGATAAGATTAGATAAGAATGGCACAGTGCAAAGATAACAATGTAGTTACAAGACTGTACAAATATGGCAGTTATGCTTTTTGGTGATATCATAGATAGGGTCAGAACCAAAGATGAAGGTTAGGTTTATGGTCACACCATAGGTTAGAGAAAGTGTTATGACGGTTATATTTTTTATCAGGTTTTAAGTGAGACCATGGGTTAGACTCAAATAACACAGTTAGGGTTTTGGTAAGACCATAGTGCAGACCCAAAGATGGCAGATACCACAAACCTGACTATCAGTCTTGGGTCTAACCTATGGTCTGACCACAAACCTAACCCCAAAACCTAACTGTCAGTTTTGGGTCTAACCTAGGGTCTGACCACAAACCTAACCCCAAAACCTAACTGTCTGTTTTGGGTCTAACTTAGGGGTCTGACCACAAACCTAACTCCCCAACACCTAAGTGTCAGTTTTGGGTCTAACCTAGGGTCTGATCCCAAACCTAACCCCAACACCTAACTGTCAGTTTTGGGTCTAACCTAGGGGTATGACCACAAACCTAACCCCAAAACCTAACTGTCTGTTTTGGGTCTAACCTAGGATCTGACCACAAACCTAACTCCAAAACCTAACTCAGTTTTGGGTCTAACCTATGGTCTGACACCATAGGGTTAGACCCAAAGATGTCACTTAGGGTTTTTGGTAAGACCCTAGGTTACACCCAAAGATGATGGTTAGGTTCTTGGGTGAGGTTTTTGGTGAGACCCTAGGTTACACGCACATTGTAATGCATTGTGAAACATCAGCAGACATGCAAAACAGAGTTCATTTGCTTATAGGTTTCAGTAACCTGGAAACTTTTCGCTTAAAGGCTTCATAGCTTCTGTCTGGGATATCCTCGATCCTGCATTGCTCTTTATAGAGACAGTAGCTATGTTTTGCCATTGAGAGTTTGTCATCGGCTTTCAAGCCATGCAATAGACTGAGTTCATTCGAAGACCAACGAACTTTGCCATCAGCCGG